AAACCAGAAATGATAGAGGAGCAGTTACAATGGACACCAAAGAAATACAAAGGATTACACAAGAATACTAAGCTATTTTATACCACCAAACTGGATAGCCTAGAAGAAATGAACAAATTCTTAGAAATACATAACCTTCCTAGACTGAACCAGGAAGAACTGGAAAACCTAGACTGATCAACAGTAAGGAAACTGAAACGGTCATCATAAATCTCCCCAAAAAAACAGAAGTCCAGGACCAGATGGCTTCATGGTGGATTCTACCAAACATTTCAAGGAGATTTAATACCAATCCTCCTCAAACTCTTCCAAAAAAACGGAAGAGGAATACTTCCTAACTCATTTTATGAGGCCAATGTTACCCCGATACTAAAAAACAGTATTCAGTTCTTTCAGTATATTATATCTTTAAAAAGTTTTCCTGTGATTCCTTCATCCCTTTTTTCTCTTTAAGTCTCAATTATTTGATGATCTTTGTCTATCCATTTACACTTAAGAGCGGGGCACTAACATGCCAAATGCAAGTTCAGTGTGCAATGGGTAGCCAGCCACTTCACTTCCAGTATCTTGAGATCTTTTCTATTTAGTCAGTTTCTGTAAAGAGAAATTCCAGTCTTCTGTTTGAAGATTACAAACCTAGCCCCCAGACGTTTACTTAAACTCCATCATTAATACAGTATTTCACGCCACTCTCATTTCTGACTAGTGTTCCAGAATCCAGAACTTCTCTGGTTCAGCCTTTTAGAGAGCAAGCTTCAATCCAGGCTTATCAGAAGAACATAAGGGAAGTACTCTTCAGCCATGTAGAATAAGAAAGAGGCTATGGGATAGGCCTACTGACCCTTATACATACACTCAAACAATCCTATTTTAATATTTTCAGTTCTAGCTCATACCTGCAGATATACCTGATGCATCTGCTGCTTGCGTCTTTCAGAAATTAAATACTGGGGTTTTACACAGGGAATTCACTTGTTTCTTAATGTCATTCCCCATGATAGACATGTTCTTACTTTCTTCACTTTCCATCCACTTTGCAACTTTTAAATTTTTATTAATAGCTCTCATTTACTGTAGTCTTCTCTCCCACTCTTTTAATACTTGTGGGATGATATATTTTTCTCATTGTAATTTGAGAGGTGTTTCAGAAGAGATCAGATGGAGATTAATGCATATATTTAAACTGTCATCCTTAATGAAGAGTTGCACCTGTCATGTACCCACCATCCAGCTTAACGAAATATTACAAATACACCGTGCTTGTGATTACCCTTTTTAATTTTCTAGGTAAGAGTCATGTCATTTTCAAACACTGATTTTTGTTATTCTAACATTAGAAAAAAATGTTAAAAAAACAAAAGAAAAATATTTAAAAATAAAAGAATATTTTGCTTATCTTTTTCGGAGGGGGACTAAGTTGAGCTTCATTACTGATAATAATGTTAGACCTGAAGTTTAATATATTCTCTCAATTAAGAAATTTTAGAAGACAGTTTTCATTTGGAATATGTATAATTTCTTGTGTACTACATTATGATTTCTATTTTTTTTTTCTATTGGTAGGATCTAAGGAAGTAGCTATATTGAAATATAATTTATATATAATAAAACTCAATTTTTAGGTGTACAGTTTTAGTAATCAATTAGGCAGATTTCTAGTAAATTTATAGAGTTGTACAACCATCACCACAAGTTTTAGAACACTTCCATCACAAAGTCATTTTTATTAGGATACTTTTATTATTCTGTCCCACTTTACTATATGTTTTATGAAGAGAAAAAGTGTTTTTGCTCATTATGTAGACATAGCGCCTAGCCTATTGCCTGACATATATGGTAGGTAGGTACTCAACAAATATTTGTTAACCTATTTCTCATTTGCCCTGAGAATACTCGTCGGTGGCACTTGTGGCTGCGTTTACCCCGAGATAACTCAGAGATAGAGTCCTAACCTCACCCCCAAAGTCTGCCACGAAATGGCTCACTTTTATTATTATTTTCATAATACCCTAGTAAATCGATAGCCTTTGGAAACAAATGACATTCTATATATAGCATTGTTTTTAGTAGCGGTATTTCTATTTACAAAATATAGCTATTCTCAGTCGCTGAAACTGAGAGTCGCTATATTTTGTAAATAGAAATACCACTACTAAAATCCTAGAGAACATAGCTTTCCTAAGCAGGATGCTAACATTGTCCTCGAGCAATCATTAGCTGAAGGTTCACTTGATGAATCCGATTTATGTACACATTTCTGTTACATTAGGATCAGAGACAAGTTCTGTTTAGAAATAACTTCAAGAACAGTTTTATATTTTATTTTCACATTGAAAACTAGTCAGATTTGCCTCAGCCTCAAAGAGTGTGTTTATGTAAAATTAACGCTGGCAGAGAGCTGCACTTTTTTTTCTAAATGGGAAGTGGGTTAAATGAAGAATACATAATGACTGTCTCAGTTTTATTTTTGGCATTTCTTTACTTTGACTTATTTTCTTTCGCTAGATTCTTCATATGTGAACTCTTCATATGTGAATCATTTTAACTCTTCCTGGTCAATCTAGAGATTTTTTGGTTAATATAGATATTTAAAGTGATATAATTTCATCAAGTATTACCTTGGAAAAATTTCATAGGTTTTATTATGTCTATATTTTTATTTCTATCCTTCAAAAATACAGAAATGATGTGGCCCCTCTATTCAGAAGCCATGAAAAATTTTCCATTTTCTACAGAACAGTATCTAAAGTTCTTAAGAGTCAAGTCAGCTCTAAAGTGATTTCTAGCCTATCATCTTATCAATATACTTTATACTCCAATCAGATTGGGCTACTTGCTCTTCCCTTAAACAAGTTCTGTACTTCTGTTTGTAAAAACTTTTTCTCCTGTGCTCAGTACCTAGCAAAGTGCCTTAAACAGAGTAGCTCAATATACGTTTGTGGAGAGTTCATAACACTATCGCGATCCAAGTTAATATTTTGAATTTTATCTTTTATCATATTGAATTATATTTTATTACTTAATTTCCAATTTTACTGTATTGTGATCTATTTCATTTTTTATTGTTTTTAATTTTTTATGTTTTTGAAATATTTATATTTGTGTAATCTGCTTTTAAATTGTATTAAGTTCTTCTATATATCCTATACTTCGGTCAATTTTGTCTAAGACTTAAACATATATAAAAAGATATCTGGACTTTTCTTCGACCACCATTAGACCATGAAATTCATGAAGAGCCAGGTCTACTTTGCTGACTGTATTTTGAGTACCTGGGACATGCTGGTACATCGGCTCAGTAAATTTTTAGTCATTTTTAATTTTATTCTTTCCACTGCTACTAAATTAAAAAGTGTACATTAAGGAGTTCTTAGGCTGATTACCTTATGAGAACAATAAATAAAAATATACATAATAGATGAGGTTCAATTAAACACAGCAACACAGAGTTCCTATTACGAATCAAAATGTTCTAAGAGTGAGATACAAACACAATTCCTGCCCTTGAGGCCTATGATGATGCTCATGTTAGCAAGTAACTCTGACACAGTGTACTAGAGGGAAGGATGTATAAAAAGGCTTGGAAATAAGAGTCGAGGACACCTTTAAATCGAGTAGGGGAAGGAGGTAGTTAAGGAAATCTATAGCACAAAGTAAAATCCTTTTAAGGATAAGAAAACCAAAACTCAAACTATGGTACATGTTCAAGATCATACAGCTGGAGACCACAAAAGGAGATCTAACTCCCAGTTCTGTGATCTTTACCTTATACCATACTTACTATCGATACCTTTTAGCAGCTCACAAAAGAATAACAGAGAATTTAGAGAGTTACGAAATATAATTTGGGCATTTATTCATCCTAACCCCATCTCCTATTAATATAAAAAATCAAGGACTATACGAAATTGTGACAACCTTAGCCAAGTACCATGTAGTTAAAACAACTTTCTAGCTGATTCGCCTATGAGAGAATGCACTCTAAAAGTGTTGGTTACATGTATATTTCATCAGCGAGACACACGTCCCAGTCCAAAGTGACTTGGACATAAAGAGAACTATTAAATTGTATTACATCCATATATGCATTTTTTTTAATAAATGTTAATAGGTCTGCAGCAAATCTTTAAAAAAGGAAAGGTCCAAAAATATGAATCAGGCAGCCTTTATTCAGCACATTCCGAGAAAGTGAGACCCTGAATCTGGAAATTTAAGCACTACAGTCCATAGAGAGAGACATTCTTTTAGGAACGAGGATGGCGTTTAGGCCTTTCCACATCTCTCATGACTATCCAATTACTTTTAGCTACCAAGCAACCTTTCCATGACTAATTGGAAATACATGCTGACCCCACAACCCTGACTTCGGGACATTATTTACACCCCCTCCCCTATTATAAATTAATAAATTGGCATTCTAAACACACAGATTTTTGGTTGCTTGGTTAGCATGAAATAACCCCAAGAACCTTGCTCAGTTCTAAATAGCAGTGTAGAAAAAAAAGTTTAAGAACTTGAAAAATTTAAGATCATACTCTAAACCAATAATTGAAAAGGTGATTCAGGCCATAAGTGGATTTTATTTGGCTTATAGGGGAAAGGGAAGGAGGGCCAGAGGAAGAGAATGCTCTAAAAAAAAAAAACAACAACAACAACAACAACAAAAAAAAACCTGCATATTTCACATAAAAAAGTTAGATTTCCAGCTTCTCTTGAAAACTCTGATGCTCTGGCAATACTGGGCCTGCAGTGCCACAAAGTAAAACCGGCTGGAGTTACAAGGCCAGAGTTACAAAGCCTTAGTTCCGTACATGTGCCATCTGCTTTCTAATTCATCATACACCAACCTCAAACTGAGGCCAAAGGTCATTTCTCATTCTGTTTGTAGTAATGTCTGCCTTATGCCATATGAAGTGAATAAGTGCAATTTTTTTTAAAAGTACAATCTACTCTTCACATTAATGCAATAAACAAAGCTAGAATCAAAGAAATCAATTTACCTTAATCTGAGTCTGTTCGATTGACTTTTCCCATATCTGCTGATCATATGCTCCAATCTGAAACAGGAAGCAGGCTATTTAAATGATGCAAAGGAAATCCTTTCATTTAGGTCAAACCTCACAAAAGCCGTACACTATTAAATATCAGTATGATATCTGGAAAATGTTTACACTTCTCCGAGTTCAAATAAATTAATAGTTCCAAGGATTGTTTCCTTGAAAGTCCTAAGGTAGGTGGATCTAGAAGTAATTTAAAAAGCAACGTCCAAAATATTTCAAATATTACCTTAAAAGATATTTCCACTTCTTAAGGAAAACTAGAGAGGAATGAAAAGGTAAAGGACAACTCAATAAGATTTTGACAGTGCCATTCTGAGTGTGGAGATACAAGTTTCATGTCTGAAAAATGAGCAGTTCGATCAGAGGCAAACTTTCAAAGCATTGCTGGGACATTGTGTATGCAGCCTGGAGAAGGGAGGTGACTTGAAAATCTTACTCTAAGATCTGGAACTGGGTTTAAAAGCTCTAATGACCTTGTCCATCAGTTTTTCCATTTATGTTGAGAGCTATCATGTAAAGCTGCCTGGCACTATCAAGCTCAGGCGAAACTAAAGTGAAATGCTTTGTGAGAGCTTAGTGCAAGAAGTAGTCTTTACACGTAAAAAAAAACATTGACATTACCTTTTTTTGATACCACGATATAGCATCTCTCTCATTTGAGGCCATCTGTGTCTCCAGCCAGCCAGAGAATGGGATTTCACTGAAAAGGAAGGAAAACCAGTGAGACCAGCTGCTGAAAGGTACTCTCTCAGTTTGGGGAGAACTCAAAAACCGCTGCTCTCAGCCTCTCCATGAGCTGCTGTCACTGTCCCTTTCTCCGGCTGTTTGCCAGGAAACAAAGCAAACCATAAAACACCTCTGGCGCAGTGGTGGCTGGAGAACCGTCTCTGCGCTATTTTACGCGAGTATTCAAGGATACGGCGAGCGGGGAGGGCACGGCGCGGGCGCTGACCCGCCCCCAGGGCCCGCGGCTCCCCGGCGTCCGGCTCTCACCTGGCGTCCGCTGCCCGGCTGTCCGGCGGCCGGGACCGTCCTCTTTAGTGGCCCCGGCCCGGCCGTGAGGCCGAGGGCCAGGCGGCGGGC